GAAGTGGATGTGAACCTGCCCAAGGCTGACCTTGATGTGTCTGGACCCAAGGTGGACATTGATGCTCCTGATTTGGAAATTGAGGGACCAGAAGGAAAACTGAAAGGTCCCAAGTTCAAGATGCCCAAGTTGAACATCAAAGCTCCTAAAATATCTATGCCCGATGTGGACTTGAATTTGAAGGGACCTAAACTGAAAGGAGAGATAGATGCTTCAGTGCCAGAAATGGAAGGTGAGCTCAGAGGCCCACATCTTGATATTAAAGGGCCTGGTGTGGACGTGGACATGCCTGATGTTGATCTAGAATGTCCTGATGCAAAGTTGAAGGGCCCCAAGTTTAAGATGCCTGACATGCACTTCAAGACCCCCAAGATCTCCATGCCTGATGTGGACTTACATCTGAAAGGCCCCAAAGTCAAAGGTGATGTGGATGTGTCTGTGCCAAAATTAGAAGGAGATTTGAAAGTGCCAGATATGGACATCAAGGGGCCGAAAGTGGACGTCAGTGCCCCAGATGTGGACGTTCAAGGTCCAGACTGGCATCTGAAGATGCCCAAAGTGAAAATGCCCAAGTTCAGCATGCCTGGCTTCAAAGCAGAGGGCCCTGAAGTGGATGTGAACCTGCCCAAGGCTGACCTTGATGTCTCAGGACCCAAGGTGGACATTGAAGGTCCGGATGTGAACATTGAGGGGCCAGAGGGGAAGCTGAGGGGCCCCAAGTTTAAGATGCCTGAGATGCATTTCAAGACCCCCAAGATCTCCATGCCTGATGTTGATTTCAACTTAAAGGGTCCTAAAATCAAAGGGGACATTGATGCTTCTGCCCCAAAACTTGAGGGAGATTTCAGAGGCCCTGAACTAGATGTCAAGGGCCCCAAATTGGATGTTGACATGCCAGAAGTAGCCATGGAGGGTCCAGATGGAAAATGGAAAAGTCCTAAGTTCAAGATGCCAGATATGCACTTTAAACCTCCCAAAATATCCATGCCAGACATGGATCTGCATCTGAAAGGTCCAAAGACAAAAGGAGAGGTAGGCATAGATGTTCCTAAATTAGAAGGAGACCTCAAAGCGCCACATGTGGACATCAGTGGCCCAGACATTGACATCGAAGGACCAGAGGGCAAACTGAAAGGCCCTAAGTTCAAGATGCCTGACGTACATTTCAAAGCTCCTAGTATTTCTATGCCTGATGTTGATCTGAATCTAAAAGGGCCTAAAATCAAGGGGGATGTTGATGTGACCGTGCCAGACGTAGAAGGTAAAATTAAAGTACCAGATGTGGACATCGAGGGCCCCAAAGTAGATATAAATGCTCCTGAGGTTCAAGGCCCAGACTGGCACCTGAAGATGCCCAAGATGAAAATGCCCAAGTTCAGCATGCCTGGCTTCAGAGCAGAGGGTCCAGATGTGGATGTGAACCTGCCCAAGGCTGACCTTGATGTCTCAGGACCCAAGGTGGACATTGATGTTCCAGATGTGAATATTGAAGGGCCAGATGCAAAAATGAAGGGCCCCAAGTTCAAGATGCCTGAGATGAACATCAAGGCTCCGAAGCTCTCCATGCCTGACTTTGATTTGCATCTGAAAGGTCCCAAAGTAAAGGGTGATGTGGATGTTTCCATGCCCAAACTAGAAGGTGATCTCAAAGGTCCTGAAGTTGATATCAAAGGCCCTAAAGTGGACATTGATGCTCCAGATGTGGATGTGCAAGGTCCAGACTGGCACCTGAAGATGCCCAAGATGAAAATGCCAGGGTCCCAAATTGAAAGGTGATGTGGACGTGTCTCTGCCCAAAGTGGAAGGTGACCTCAAGGGCCCTGAAGTGTGTCAGGACCCAAGGTGGACATTGATGTTCCAGATGTGAATATTGAAGGGCCAGATGCGAAAGTGAAGGGCCCCAAGTTCAAGATGCCTGAGATAAATATCAAGGCCCCCAAAATCTCCATGCCTGATGTTGACCTAGACTTAAAGGGCCCCAAAATAAAAGGAGATTTCGATGTGACCATTCCTAAGATGGAAGGTTCCTTCAAAGGGCCCGATGTAGATCTTAAAGGTCCAAGTCTGGATTTCAAAGGCCCTGATGCCAAACTCAGTGGCCCTCATTTGAAGATGCCATCCCTGGAAATATCCGCTCCTAAAGTAAGTGTCCCTGAGGTTGATTTGCATCTGAAGACACCCCAGATTGGAGTTTCTGGTCCCAAGTTAGAAGGCGGTGACTTTGACCTGAAGGGACCGAAAGTCGATTTAGAAACTCCAGGCTTAGACGTACACATGGAAGGCCCAGAAATGAATATAGAGGGGCCAGATGTGAAAATCCCTAAATTCAAGAAACCAAAGTTTGGCTTTGGTGCAAAAAGCCCGAAGGCTGACATCAAATCACCAGCACTGGAGGTGACTTGTCCTGAAGCAGAGCTCAACGTGGAGACGCCTGACATAAGCGTCAGCGGCAAGGGCAAGAAAAGTAAGTTCAAGATGCCTAAAATTCACATGAGCGGACCCAAAGTGAAAGCCAAAAAGCAAGGATTTGATTTGAATGTTCCCGGGGGCGAGATTGACACCAGTCTCAAGGCTCCTGAGATGGAGGCCAGCGTCACAGGACCTGATGCTACATTCAAAGCCGACATGAAATCTCCCAAAACCAAGAAAACCATGTTTGGAAAAATGTACTTCCCGGATGTGGAGTTTGACATTAAGTCACCTAAATTAAAAGCTGAGGCCCCCCTCCCGAGCCCCAAGATGGAGGGTGAAATCCAGGTCCCTGATGTAGATATTTCTTCCCCGGGGATTCATGTAGAAGGTCCTGACATCAAAGTGAAGTCTCCGAAGTTCAAGATGCCAGGTGTGGACATCTCTGGGCCAAAACTAGAGGGAGACTTGAAAGGCCCCGCCATCCAGGCGAATTTCGGCACACCTGACATCAACATGGAAGGTGTCGATGCCAAGGTCAAAGGAACATCTTTTGGCATTTCTGCTCCTCAAGTCTCTTTACCTGATGTGAACCTGAACTTGAAAGGACCAAAGTTAAAGGGTGATGTCCCCGGCGTGGGCCTCGAAGGACCAGACCTAGATCTGCAAGGTCCCGATGCCAAAATCAAGTTCCCCAAGTTCTCAATGCCCAAGATCAGTGTCCCTGGTGTGAAACTAGAAGGTGGGGGAACTGAGGTCCATACCCACGGTCCCTCTCTGGAAGGAAGCTTGAGCACTCCAGATGTGAAGCTTGGAGGGCCTGATGTCTCTCTAAAGGGGCCAGGAGTTGACTTGCCTTCAGTGAACCTTTCTATGCCCAACGTCTCTGGGCCTGACCTTGACCTGAACTTGAAAGGACCAAGTCTGAAAGGAGACCTGGCTGCATCCATTCCCAGCGTGAAGATGCACGGCCCCGGGCTTGACATCAGCGGTATCAGTGGAAAGGTACAGATGGGAGGAGATGGTGTTGGAGCACCAGACTTGACGCTGAAGGGACCAAGCCTCCAGGGAGATCTGGCTGTGTCTGGTGACATCAAGTGCCCTAAAGTATCCGTAGGCGCTCCCAATCTAAGCGTGGAGGCTTCTGAAGGTGGGCTTAAATTTCCCCAAATGAGACTGCCCCACTTTGACATCTCTACTCCAGGATCCGATGTGGACGTTCATCTCAAGGGGCCACAAGTTTCTGGAGACCTCTCCGGGCCAGGCATGGGTGTGAACCTGAAAGGGCCCCAGATCTCAGCACCGGGTATGGACTTGAACTTGGAAGGACCAAAAGTTAAAGGAAATCTTGGTGTCTCTGGTGATGTGGAAGGCCTCGCTGTCAGAGGGGCTCTTCCAGGTGTCAGCGTTCAAGGCCTCGAAGGAAAACTCCAGATGCCGGGAATAAAGTCCTCTGGCTGTGATGTGAGCCTGCCCGCTGTGAATGTGCAGCTCCCAACCGGGCAGATCTCCGGTCCTGAAATCAAAGGCGATCTGAAGGGTTCAGGACCTGACATCCACTTAAAGGGGCCTTGCGTTGCTATGACATCGCCAGAGTCGGATTTTGGTGTCAGCTTGAAGGGCCCGAAAGTCAAAGGTGGCGTAGATGTCTCAGGGGCTGTCAGCGCTCCCGATATCAGCCTGGGTAAAGGACAAATAGGTATCAAGGGCTCTGAGGGTGAGTGGAAGGGACCCCAAGTCTCTTCTGCTCTCAACTTGGACACGTCCAAGTTTGCTGGGGGCCTTCATTTCTCAGGACCAAAGGTAGAAGGAGGTGTGAAAGGAGGCGAGCTTGGACTCCAGGGTCCCGGGCTGAGTGTTTCTGGGCCTCAAGGTCACTTGGAAAGTGGATCTGGAAAAGTTACATTCCCCAAGATGAAGATCCCCAAATTTACCTTCTCTGGCCGGGAGCTGGTTGGCAGAGAAGTCGGGGTAGATGTGCACTTCCCTAAAGTGGAAGGCAACGTGCAGGCTGGCGCTGGCGAAGGTGACTGGGAAGAGTCTGAAGTGAAACTGAAGAAATCGAAGATCAAAATGCCCAAGTTCAATTTTTCCAAGCCTAAAGGGAAAGGGGGTGTCACCGGCTCCCCGGAAGCATCCATTTCCGGGTCTAAAGGTGACCTGAAAAGCTCCAAAGCCAGCCTCGGTTCTCTGGAAGGAGAGGCACAAGCAGACACATCTTCACCCAAAGGCAAATTCTCCCTGTTTAAAAGTAAGAAACCAAGGCACCGCTCCAATTCATTCAGCGACGAGAGGGAGTTCTCGGCGCCCTCCACCCCTACCGGAACTTTGGAATTTGAAGGTGGAGAAATGTCTCTGGAAGCTGGGAAAGGCAAAGGCAAGCATGGCAAGCTGAAATTTGGTACCTTTGGTGGATTGGGGTCAAAGAGCAAAGGTCACTATGAAGTGACGGGGAGTGATGAGGAGACAGGCAAGTTGCAGGGGAGTGGCGTTTCCTTGGCCTCTAAGTCCCGACTGTCCTCCACTTCTAGCAATGACAGTGGGACAAAGGTTGGCATCCAGCTGCCAGAGATAGAACTGGCGGTTTCTACCAAGAAAGAGTAGTGGGTCTTTGTATGTGTGTACATATATATATGTATATATAAAAAAAAGAATATGGCAGCCTTGGGTGTGTTTGTATATAAACTCCAAAGAGAAACACCTCTCCAGCCTCAGCAATAATGCAAAGATCCGGGCTTCTGCCCCTGTGGCAAGTGCTACAAACAAATAAACAAAAAACCCCAAACCAAAACAAACAAAAGCCAACTGCCTCTAGGCTCCTGGAATCCTGCAAGTAGCTGGAGTTTCAGTTGGACCCAGCCGCAATGCAGAGTCAGTAGTATTTGCCTTAAAGATTTCAGGGTTCTTTTGACATTTTGGTTTTGGTTTTTGGTTTTTGCTTTGACTGCTGAGAGAGCTCTTGTTTACTAAGCAAGCTTTTATTTTTGTGTGTGTTTATTATCATTTTTACTGAACATTGTTAGTGTTGGGGGGTAACAAACCCACTTTTTCATTGTAATGACTTTTTTGGGGGGCTTTTCTTAATAAGAGGGTGAGATAAAAGGCAGTGGATGGGGTCGGATCTTAATTGCTCCTGAGATTTGATCTATTCAAATAGTAACATCTCGAGATGGTCCAAAGAAGTGGCAGCCAGAGTGTGGGTATTTCTCTCAAACTCTTTAGCATAGATTCCCTCCTCCCCACCTCCAGGGGTGGTGGTCTCAGCCAGTTTGGTGCTCAGGATGACAGGAAATTAGCACGTTTGCAGATTATCCCACGGGGCTTCCATGCTGTGTTTTGTAAGAGAAATGTTTGAATTATGACTTGCCATGTTCTTGACAATAGTCTTGATTTTCTTTTAACAAATGCTATCATGAGCGAGAAAATTTCTGGCACTTTAATGGCAAATTAATTGAGAATGTAAGGAAAATCCATGCTGTATGAGGCAAATAAAACTTGTTTATTAACCCTGATAACTTGTGTCATTGTATTGTGTAATGACAGGGTGGAGTCAGGGGAAGTTTGTCTGCCCAGCCCTGACCATTGAGACTAGATATACCCAGTGTCATTGCTAGTTTTGCTAGTGACGTGTGTGTGTGTGCGTGTGTGTGTGTGTGTATGTGTGTATGTGTGTGTGTGCGTGTGTGTGTGTGTGTATGTGTGTATGTGTGCGCGTGCGTGCACACGCGCGCACGTGTCAGTCCTGGAGCTTGAACTCAGGGCCTGGGCACCTCTCCCTGAGCCTTTGTGCTCAAAGCTGGTATTCTACCACTTGAGCCACAGCTCTATTTCTGGCTTTTAGTTAATTGGAGATAAGAATCTCAGAGTTTCTTGCTGGGCTGGCTTTGAATCATGATCCTCAGATCTCAGCCTCCTGAGTAACAAGGGTTACAAGCCACCAGCACCTGGCGACTGTTAGTGACTTTAAATGTGACTTCCACATAGGAGAAGCATTCTTAAAAATTTTTTTATTGTTCTATATAATACAGGTGATGTACAGAAGGGTTAGTGTTACATACGTCAGGGAATGAGTACATTTCTTTTTGGACAATGTCATGCCTTCTCTCCCTCTCTCCCAGTTTTTTCCTCCCATCCCCACCCGCAAGTTCTATGGCTCATTTTCAATATAGTGTCCAGTGAGTAGCCCCATTGCATTTGTTCACCCTCTGTCCCTCCATGCCTGTGCCCAAGAGGAGGCATTCTTAGTTTCTTGATTCGCACAGTGATCCTGGCTGGGCTGCTGCAGAATTAAGAGGGGTAGAGGCTTAGCTGGAACCAGGCCTTGGGCTCCAATCTCCAGCACTAGGACGAGAGAAAGGAGCTGCACCTGGCAAGACGGTGGCCTAATCCCCCAGGACCCTGCCACCAACGTGGCAGCCTTGGCTATGGACTCAAGATTCAGAAACTGTTCTAAATGGGTAGGAGGTTGCAGAGGTGAATGGGAAAGAAGTCCTATTAGAGTAGCAGGAAGGACTCCTGCTGTGAGGCACAGGATGGCTGCCTTCTGCTCTGGCACTGGCCACTGGCTACGTGTTCCCCCAGTAGCCTCAAGTTGTACCCTCCAGGCCTCAGTTTCCTCTTTGAAATAATGGCGCTGATCTTGCCAGGTGCTGATGGTTCCTGCTTGTTGTAATCCTAATTACCCAGGAGGCTGAGAGCTGAAGATCAAGGTTTGAAGCCAGCTGGGGCACGAAAGTCAGTGAGATTCTTCTCTCCAATTAACCAATTGAAAAAGCTGGGATTGGAGGTGTGGCTCAAGTGGTGGAGCGCTAGCCTTGAACACAAAAGTTAAGCGAGAGCATGGGGATTGGGAAAGAAGACAACAACAAGAACTCCAAGTTTGGGCAAGTTTCTCTTGCAAGAGGGCTGGTGGCATGCTTGGCCTTGTTCTCTGGTTGGGGATTTTGAAAATGGGGCTCTTGGCTTTGGGCTTGCAGCACACAGCAGCTCTCTGTCTTTTCTTCATGAGGACAAAGAATTCGTGTATGAATGTTTGCCACAGGGCTGGAATGCCGTGCGCTGTTTACCAGCCTCAGCTTTGCCTTGTGGGGTCAGGCAGCCTTACGGGCTTCTTCCAGCCCTCAGGGATCCTGAAGTCTCAGCCCTGGGCCACAGCAAATGTGTGGGCTTTGCTGAGGAGGACAGCATCATTTCCCCTTAAATACTTCTCTTCTTTTTTCTTTCCCTTTTTCTGAGCTGATAGTGCTGGGGCATAAACTCAGGGCCTGGAGGTGCTGTCCTTAGCTTTTTTTTTTTTTTTTAACTCAAGGTTGTTGCTCTACCACTTGAGCCACAGCTCCACTTGCAGCTTTTTGGTGGTTCATTGGAGAGAAGAGTCTTATAGACTTTCCTGCCTAGGTTGGCTTCGTACTGTGATCCTCAGATGTCAGCCTCCTGACTAGCAAGGATTACAACATGCAAGTTTGGCTTTTTTGTTGTTGTTGGTTGTGGGGTCTGAACTCTGGGCCTGGGCGCTGTCTCTCAGCTCTTCAGCTCAAGGCTAGCGCTCTACCACTTGAGCCACAGCGCCACTTCTGGCCTTTTCTACTTATGTGGTGCTGAGGAATCGGACCCCCAAGCACTCTACCACTGAGCCACCTTCCCAGCCCTTGGCTTTCTTTTCTCATTTAGTAAGTAGTCAGGTTCAGCCAAGTTAAGCCATGGGTGCAAAGCCACCCAGCTAGTAAGCATCGGGACCCCAGCTGGATCACAACTCACCCTGGGATCTGGTGTGACTGAGACACATGCACTTTTTATATAGCGTTCGGTTTACTTTGCTACCAGAAAGACTTAATAATAAGCTAGGTTTCAAAGCTTGGAGAGGGGCCAGGAGGGGTAATCCACTGCAGGCTGGAGTTGAGTGGGGGCGGGTCTACTTGGCAGGGTGGGGCCAGAAGGAGGGAGAGGAAGGGCTGGGAACTGAGACAGAAACTGGAGGCCCAGGCTGGGTTCTGCCCTGAAACAAAAAAAAGAAAAAAGAACTCTGCCATGAGCCTATTTTTTTTTTTTGGGGTCCGGTCGTGGGGCCTGAACTCTGGGCCTGGGAGCTGTCCCTCAGCTCTTCAGCTCAAGGCTAGCACTCTACCACTTGAGCCACAGCGCCACTTCCAGCTTTTTTCTTTTTGCTTATGTGGTGCTGAGGAATTGAACCCTGGGCCTCAGGCATGAAAGGCAAGCACTCTACCACTGAGCCGCTTTTTTCTTTTTGCTTATGTGGTGCTGAGGAATTGAACCCAGGGCCTCAGGCATGAAAGGCAAGCACTCTACCACTGAGCCACCTTCCCAGCCCCATGAGCCTGTTTTTTGAGAGGGACAGGGTTTGTTCCAGGTCTCAAGTAGAGTGAAACCTTGCTCAAGGTCAGCCTTGTGGGCTGCTGCCAGCCCTTCCTGTGGCTTTCCTGCCCCTTGCCACCCTTACTGAGTCTGCAACTCTTTCATGGTAATAAACAAGACAGAAAAGCCAATCAAAGTGTGTGCATTCTTATTAGCCCCGCCCACTGGTCCTGGACCACAGCCCAGCCATCCTAGAAGCCCTGTGGCCACCCTAGTGAGTGGCCATTCTGGCTGGCTCTAGCCCATCCCTTTGGACAGAGTTGCTCCTGACAGTGACAGTTTCCCCTGGCATCTCTGCACCTGCCAGCTCTGCTCAGCAGCCGGGCAGAGGCCAATGTTAAACCTGTTGGAAAACGTGCTAACAACTTTTGGTGTGAGCACAAGGGCCTTGGACTTCCTGGGTGGAATGAAGCCACTCAACCCATCCCCCGGTGCCACACCAAGGGGAAGGAACTCCAACCTCAGGCTCTCTCACTTTTCCTTCCAGAGATGAAGAAGAAAGAGCCTGTGGGGTGCTGGTGGGGTACGGCCTGGGCTGGGCAAAGGGAAGCAAAACCCTTGGTCCTGGAGGAGGAAAGTTAAAGAAGTAAGGAAAAGGGAAGGCCAGGAAAAGGAAAGAGGGAAGCTGCGGGTGTGGCTCACTAGTACAGCCCCTGCCTGGCATATGCAAGACCAAGCTTGATCGCAAGCACTAAAGAAAGAAATGAGGGAGGAAAAGAAGGAGGGAGGGAGGGAGGGAGAAAGGGAGGATGGGAAGGAGGAAAGGAAGGAAGGATGGGAGGAAGGAAGGAAGGAAGGAAGAAAGGAAAGGAGGAAGGGAGGGATGAAGGGAAGGAGGAAGGAAGGAAGGAAAGAAGGAAGGAAGGAAGGAAGGAAGGAAGGAAGGAAGGAAGGAAGGGAGGGAGGGACTTACAGGAAACAGGACAGTACCAAAGGATGATCTGGTGGTTTAAGCTTCTCCCCACCCACTGATCCAAATAGATTTAATCTAAATACAGTTGTAGTTTGCGACATGGAGGCAAACCAGAAATCAGCTCACACCTGGAAGCCCTCATTCTGCACTTGGAAGCCATCTAGTCTGGATTTGGCCTGTTCAGCCAAACAGCTAAATCCCCAGGCTCACATGAATTCTGCCACCCCTTACTGGGGGAATTTTTTAATCCACTTTAGAGCTGCTGCAAGCTATGAGCCAGGCAGTGGGTCCAGCAGGACTCCGGGCACAGAGGAGATTGGGGCATCAAGAAAGAAGATTCTGGAAAGCCATCAGAACCCCCCCTCCCCCCGACAGGTTTATACTTCTCCATTGGTGCTTCTCACCCTGGTGGGTTCTAAGCCCCAATTAGAGCACCAATGCAAGTTGTCACTGCATCTAGATGGCTCCAAGGTCAGCTTTATATTGGTGGGCTCTCTATATGTTAATGTGTGTATGTGCATGTGCATATGTGTGTATGTATATGTATGTATGCACAAGTGCCAGTACTGGGGCTTGAATTCAGGGCCTCATACGCTCCCTTAGTTTTTTCATATCAAGGCTGGTGCTCTACCACTTGAACCACACCTGGGTTTTTGGTTGTTAGAGATAAAGAGTCATCTCTTGGATTTGTCTGCCTGGGCTGATTTTGAACCAGGATTCCTCTGATCTCAGGCTTCCAAGTAGCTAGGATGACAGCCTGAGCCACCCACTCCATGAGCACTTTTGGACTTGTGCATTTGATAGGAGGACTTTGGGGTCCTGATGAGTGGGTGGGGCTTCCCAGTGGCTACTCCACCCATCAGAAGGCCAGCTCAGGGATTTTGGGACACAAGAGCTCTTGTTCAAAGCTGAACAATTAGAGGTATAGGTGTTCATGGGTCTTTGTGGTCCTGGAGTCTGACACAGCCCAAGATACTGAGCTGCCACCACAGTGGGCTACAGCAGGGGCATACAGCTCCAATCTCTATGTGTGTGTGTATGTGTGTGTGTACATGCACGCATGTGTGTGCTCATAATGGACCTTGATCTCAGAGTCTAGGCACTATCCCTTAACTTTGTTGCTGGAGGCTGGGGCTCTACTACTTGAGCCACAGCTCCACTTCCCGCTCTTTTGGTGGTTAGTTGAAGATAGGAGTCTCAAGGACTTTCCTGTGCCAGCTGACTTTG